ACCACAGACAGAATTTCAAGACATCCATCTATGCACTCTCTCAACTTATACAAACTTTAAACTCCAAGTAACCCTGGTGGGTGAAATTAATGTACCAAGGAATGTAACTATGCTCCTGGCAAGCTCACCTGCACTTCTTTCATGAGAAAACTGACTATCTATTAGAACTGTAACTTCAGAGGCACCTATTCTATTTACTTTATCAGCTAATATTGTATGTCATAATGCTCCCAATTAAAAAAAATATTTTTAATAAAAATCTGCATTTAAATACAGCTATCTACTTCATACACATCATGATGCACTAGAACAACTCTTTTTCTGGCAACATTTTAGGTTTAAAGAAGACACAAAGCACTACCCAAAACTCAGGAGTGCACTGCCTTCTGCATGCACAGGAACACTTTCAGTCTCTGCCTGATCAGCACCATAAACAATGCAGACACTAGGCTCATTTGGGAAGAAGGAAACGTTTGTTTTCTTCTACTAAAAGGTTTTGCAAGTCACTATGTCTCATGTATTCCCCATCCTGGTCTTGCACTTCTAAAAGTTCAGGACTGTTCCACTCAGCTGATCCATGCCCAGCTGATCCAGGCTGTCTCCACAGCAGTCTCAGCTTGCTGCAATAATACAAACAATGAGCTCTGAACACGAGAGAACGGCTCCCTGTCCCACCCAACACCCAGGGACTGAGCTGAACACTTGTGCACTTCTCCTTCTCAGAGCAACTTCCATAGGAAAGCAGGGAAACACCCCTAAAGCACACCTCTCCCAACAGCAATGCCTGGTTCTTACCTCCACCCGGCTCAGCTTGCCAGCTTTTGTCAAACACACGCCTAGGGACCTGGAACGGGATCTGCCAATTACTCAAAGCAGGAGAGCACTTGCAACTCAGATGCTGCACTGCTGAGCACTGCCATGCTCAAGATCGCTGGTCCATCCTGCCCAAAGGCATTATTAATCAGCTCCCTCTTCTAATTATACTCCCACTGCTTGCCAGGAGTTTAGTATTTTGTGGAACGCAGGCAGGGCAACTTCTACCCATGCTGATCTGCCCCCTCCCTCCTTCTTGACTAAAAAAACCCAACAAAACAACCCAAACCCAACAGAGAATAATACAAATAGTTTGACAGAGGCAGGAGATAACCATTAATCGAGACCAAGCTGTACCACGGTCACCCAGCCAAGGCACTCGTTCAGCTCACATGGTGCCAGCTTGGGGACACCAGCACAGGGCTTGCTGATTTCAAGGCATACTTTTATTAACTTCCTCACTAATTCTTAAAAGCTGTTCTTTAAAATCATTCCATTTCACAAGCTATTTTCAAAGGCTTGGCCATAGAAATGATGAGATCTTGAACTCCCCCTGCAGCAGAGTTCCTCACAGCCAGGCAGGAGTGAAATGACTGTCACCGAAGGAGCCCTGACAGGTTGGTTCCAGCAGCCTTCATCAGGGCTTCATCTGCTCCCAACAAGAAAGGATGGACCAAGACAGGGAGGTGGTGTCTCCTCCCACAGTCCTGCGCAAGCTGGGGGAACAAGTCCACACATGAATAGCAGAGGGCAGATGACTCACTGCCTTCACAGAGCAGTATGAAGATCTCAGTACAATCTTCAGGGGATACACCTTGGTTTTTACGTTGTAATGTAGAACTAGTATAAAATGATGCAAATAAATGAGACTGTGCCATGCCGTTTTAAGAAACTTGAGTCTCCCATGGATTCTTAGGTTTTTTACACTATGAAATTTGAATTCCTCTGTACAGCTGTCAGATAGGGTCAGTTTAAAAACTGCCTTGCAAGAAGCCATGATTACCAATGTACTTGCTATTTACATTGCTCTGTGAAAGCCTACCATGGTCTGGCTGGAAACAGTAACAAAAAATACATACATGTACATATTTGTCATTAGGAACTAGTTACATCTAAGTGCCATTCTGATTAACCTGTCTGTAATTATTAGAATATCTTCTAGAATCTCATCTGTCCTTAGGATATAAGATTTCCTACCTTCCTGCTTTTTGTTTAGGGGATTTCCTGTTTCATGGCTCGGAGATGCAAACCAAATCACACAGGCCCAAAACAGGACTGCCATTAGAGGGATGAGTCCTTACAGTTTCACTATAATGAACACACACACACTGAAGTTCTGAGCAGGGTATTCTAGGGAGACTTAAAGCAGAGAAAAAGGAATATTATGTATGAATTGCTGATAAACAGTTTACCATAATCGTAGTCTGAATTCTATCATATAATGAGAGTTTTTGTTGGAATTATGTCTCTATTTCCATTTGTCTTCCTCTGAACATCCTCTCAAGAGCATACAGAAAAGAGACCCAGCAATAGAAAATGCAAATTGAAGTAGTGGTGCCAAACGGCCGAGTCTGCACACACAGAGAGATCAGCCACTGCCATTCCCACTGACGTCAAAACCGGAGATAAAACCTCCTACGTGCAACACCAGTGCAGAACCTGAAACAGCATCGAGCACCAGTACACGGCTACTGTGGCTTTCTGGTTAGTGGCAGCTCCAGCCACCCCCATCCAGGACACCCAGGCCCTGTCAAAGAGGAAGCCATTTCCCTGCCCTCCAGCACTCAGTCCAGCCCACAGACACCACGTGAGGGACTGGGCAAGGAGGAGGACATGAGCAGCCAGCTCCTCTCTTCCTCCTCAACAGGCTCCTGTGAGATAACCATGTGTGCCTCAGCCAGAAGCATCATGGATGTGGTGAGTCAAAAGCTCTGGTCCTGGAAAAGATTCACCTCCAAAATCAACATCCAGTGCTTCACAGCTGGCAGGGCAGGGCTGTGCCAGCGGGGAAGAGGTCAGGCTCTGCTGCAAGGACCAGCTGCTACAGGGACATGCTATGGCTGCAAATCTTCCATTAAACTTTGCAAGATGCTTGATGGATTTTAATGCAATTTTAGTAAAACAGGGTGAAAAACAGTACAATCGGTATTATCAGCTCATACACCCACGGTGCTGGAGGAGAGGGTTGTTAAAAGAAGATTAAAATAACAAGAGTCCTTCACATCAATACATGAGGTAACTTCAGTTGTACACATCTCATCTGCTTTTGTGAATATCTGTTTGCACACACAAGGCTCTTGCACTAATTTGCAGGTTCTCCCCAGGAATAATAAAATCTGGCTTCAAATACAGTGTAACTGGAGGAGGTATAGCAGGTAGCAGCAGTTACAAACATCAGTTGTGTAATCACAAGACATACCTTGCAGTTTACCGATTTTGACCTTGAGATGGCAGAAAAAGAAAAGGTAGCAAGGCAAACACTATATGGTCCAGCTACTACAAAGATACAACACAGAACTGAAAGTGAAAACAGATTAATAGATCCTTCTTCTGCCCCTGCATCTGCTGCAGATGCTGCTGTGCCTCATTTACTGTGCTGCTTAAACACGTTAAGGCAGAGCAGGGGGAAGAAGAGGCAACTCCACGCTCAGGTTATAAAAATTACTGAAAGGAAAAGAAAAAAGGAATATGCAGTTTAGATGATGACAAGTCAGTAATGATGGAGCAGGGGAAAAGGAAGAAATGGAATAGAATATCTGGAAAGAGGATGGAAAAAAATAAAAGTGAGAAAGAAGCACAGCTGGGGCCAAAGTTTTGGTCTGTTATTTTAAAGACCAAAGGACAGAATTTTGCATGAAGTTATTTTCCTGATGACTCTGTCAGCAGAACTTCTGCCAGCTGATTTCACTGCCTTAGCCAATGCACTGCACTCTGCAGCCCAGTCCTGTGTTTGTGAGCTGAAGCCTTCCCCAGTTCCTCTCATGTCTAGGATGGCCACGTGGCTATCAGGCAAGGCTATAGTTTACTCATATTACAATTAAACTACAGGAAAGCATGTAGGCATGCAAGGGAAGTGATGGTCTAGCTGCTACATAACTGCGGCCACAGAACAACACACAAAAAAAACCCCCCAGTGAATTCAATTTATGGTGCCATCAACCATGTTTCACGTATTTAGAAGCATGCAAATAGGTCTAAGTCATCTTCACACATACACCCCTTGCTTTCTTTGGATGCATGAAACCTGAAAGACCACGAGGTACATGGAAAAAAAAAACCCAAACAAACCAACAAAAACCTATATGAAAGAGAGTTTGTCCTGCTACCTGAATGGTAAGTGAAAGGCAGTGATCCCGCAGCGGGGGTGCCACAGTGCTGCTCAGCCGGGGAACCAAAAATCCAGTGTGAAGAGAGGCACCTTTTGCACTTGGCAGCTCTCTGTGTGCACCTTCAGAGCCGCGTACCCCAGGAGACTGCCTACAGCTAACAAGCCCATCTGCAAACAAACTCTGACATGATACAATAGACAGTGAACACTGCCTCCAAAACTGTGCAAACATGAGTTCTATAAAAATGAGGTCTTCAGGGTCTAATGAATGTCCTTAGTAAGTAAGTGCAGCTTTTCACAGCGCTGGATACACAGAACCAAGACTGCAGCTCAGGAGTTGCTGGTTTCTAGCCCACACACAGCTCTTTGGACAGGACACGTATCAGCAAGGAAGCAGACGGAGGGGGAAAAAAATGTATCTGTAGGTACTTACATGCAAGATGAAAATTAACTGCACTTTAGGCATACTTTAAAAAAAACATAGAATAACCCCGTGTGACATATTGTTCCCCAAAAATCATCCACCCTAATCACAAAATATTTTGATTGTACTGATAGCATTTAACACCTCTAGCAAACAGTTGCTGCAATCACATTATTAGTAACAGTACGGGTAGCCAGTTACAGCATTAATCAGTCCAAAGTTAATTATCAGGGGTGTTTCAAAAAAAGGATAACAAACAACAGAAAAAAGCCAAATAATATTATACCCATTAGATTTTAGTTGATAAAAACACCCAAACTTAATAAATTATTCAGTGCTGAATCAAAACAATTTCAACAAAATTTTCTTCAATAAGCATGGTAATTCTAATGTCAAGTCATACATCTTTTAATTTATTTTTTTCTCAAGACTTACCTATGTTTTTCTAGTTCGTTGTGTGACGACCTATTGAAAAGAGAAAAGAAATATTAGAGAAAGGTTAAATATCAAGATTTAGACTATTTAAAAGCCAACACCTGCATAAGGTGCAAAAGAGCTCTTTAAAACATGTATTTATAAGGATTATGAAACAGCTTTGCTGTTAAATTGTTTTACTTTGACATCCCTTAGATACTTCAAGGAATCAACTTAATTTCCACAAGTAAACCGTGGGTTTAGGGGGGAATTATAATAAATTTCCATTTATTAGTGTTCCATAGATTGAGAGACAGAATTGGACGTAAAAAAATGAGCAGGTTAGTAATAAGAACAGCCCACAAGATTTTTATCTGTGAAGAAAAATTATGAGGGGGCAGAAAGTGTTAGAAGATCTAAATGGTAACAGGTAAAAAGCACCCAAAAAGCCAGCTTTCAAGCCCACGGAGAAGCAGAAAGAAAAATCAGCAGCTAACCACTGCTGTTGCTGTTGACATATTAACAGCAAAAAAAGATGAATCCTCTTAATTCTTCTAAGTCTACAAATAGGAAAAAAAAAAAAAATCCCAGTCCCTGAACTGACCACATCAGTGTGCTTTTCTACTAGGATTCGAGATTTATTTTTCCTCTAACCAATGCCTCGGGTTTTTTGCCATTAGAAGGCAGCCCTAACTTCTTGGAGGATTATTTGTTTTTTAATTGATTCATCTGGAAATATTAATTTTATTTATTTATATAGCTCAGATTAAAAACATTCCTAAAATGAAGTTATTGTCACCACTTCAAAACCAGCAACTTCCTGGACCTTTAGTTTTGTCCAACTAAAAACATTTCCAGTACTTAAAGATCAAAAGATACAAAGGCGGCGGCAGCTTTTACGGCTGGCAGATTACGTCAAAGCAGCTCTCCTACAACGTGCTGCAACCCCTGCCTGCGTCTGGGCATGATGTGCTGGCTGAGATGGCTTTGCAGAGGTGTAAGTGCCCCGTCCATCGAGGGAACAGAGGTATCTCAGGGTAAGAAACTGTTCCTGCAGAAATGCAGGACCTGTCCAGCGGCAGCCGTTCTGCCTCTCCCCGCACACGCGCGTGCAGCTGCATGCTGCGGCATACCTAGGTGTTACTGATGATGAAAAGCATCTCTCCAGTCACAGAGACTGGAAAGAAGAAAGCAAAGCTCATGCAAAGAAATAACCAATGAACAAATCCACAAGCAATTTAATTCAGGCTGGCGCAGCTCCTGATCCTGCAAGGAATTAAGCGAACGGTCCCTCTGCAGGTAGAGGAAAACTCAAATGCATACAAGGCTCAGCACCGATGTTAATCTGTTTTCACTGGAAAGCATCCCAGTATTGTTACCAAGACATCAGCTATGTCAACCATTAGCTGGTACCTGTTTCTAAAGAGTCTATGAATTTATTTTTTTTCAACCTGTTGCGTGAAGTGAGCCACAATCACGTAACCTTTGTGTTCCCACTCTGCCACCTAAGTGCTCCTGACCGATGCAGCAACACTGAAAATGCATTACACATATTCTGTGCTACATTAATAGGAAAGAAGGGATGGGTTTGCTGAGATTTACTGTCTTTACCATTTGACCATAATAAAGGAATATTGTTTTTATTTTCTACTCCTACACACACAGAAATAGCTCAAACCTTTTCTCCATGAAAAGTGACAAACACTATGCCAAATCCGCCAACGTTTACGAAAACACACAGAAAATGTAAGTTCAGGAGGAACCATTCTCCCCAAACACCCCCAACAGGCCTGTCAAAGGCACAAAGACACTGTTCACAGGGGACTCTGGGAGAGAGGAAAGACAGGCTTGGCCCAGATTCAGCCCTATGGCATGACCTCCCTGACATTTTTGGCAATTGTACACAAGATAAACATGATCACTGTAATGAGACAATTCCGATCTGCCTGCTGCAGTGGAGCTCACAACCATCTCTGGTGAGCGTGCACCGTGACTGCTGCACCAGCAGGAGAACCACTGGCCAAGAAATTCAGCCTGCACAGAGCATTTTGCTGGGTGAAGAGGATGCAATGAGTAACTGGAAGTCCTTCTGCGTGCAGCACACCTACAAGGCACCTCTGGCTCATGAAGGGTGACCCTGGTGTTCGCTAGGCCATGTCCTGCCAGACCAGCTTTGGAGGGGCACAGCTGCCTGCCCTGTTTACACCAACTTACCAGAGTGGCAGCGAACCTGTGCCTCTTTGCACATCTCTTTGGGATGCAGAAGCCTAATCGATGAGTGCAAACACAGACAGCAGCCACACATTTCGGGACGTGCAGGGAGGCTGACTAATGCCTCCCTTATCAGGCCCTATCTGGGAACCAAAACTGAGAGTTTTGACATTTACCTGGCAGTTGCTCCATCTACAGAACAAGCTAAATACGCTATTATAAGCACAATGGTTTATTTTTTTGTTGGGTTTGTTTTCAGAAGAGATTAACCTCTCTCTAAACATTGTTTATTCTCTTCTTTACAGTCTGTAGCACAGTATAGTGCAAGAATATCCAGCTCTTTCTGAAGTGAAGGAAAAATCATAAGACCTGAACTACACACAAACCAGTACCTCAAGCACTACCTCTGTTTCAAAACAGAGTCTTTTAATACTTCAGTAAAAGATAAGTTGTAGGCCAGGACTAAGAAGATATATGGATATATATATTTCTGTAAAAGACAGATGTATGACCATGGTTTTCAGATAAATGGTCTGTGGAGCCCTTGAAAAGAGGCTGCAAGAAAAGGAAGATATTTGGAGTTTAGCTTAATTTCACTATATTGGGTTCTGTATCTCCAGGCAAAACCTGGGGGATTGGGGGTAGCAGTGATGAGGGAGAGGTGTCAATAAAAGGTTTGGATTAAAATAAAGGGAAAAGCCAACAATAAAAAAATCATCAGCAAAATTACATGTTCAGAAGGAGATCAGCAATGCTGCTGCTGAGACAGCCCTAATATCCCTTTAGCTAATACCGAGTAGTTCATCAGCTATGAAGCAGCAGTGACATTTTCTTTGTGAACAAATTGTCAAAAGAAAGGGGAGGAGCCAAGTAAATGCAGATGTTGGCTTACAAGATACTGTGCCATATCCTCAGAGCTGTCCCCTTCCACCACCCTCACTCCCCCAAACAAGACTTCTAGGTATTGCCGTTTGGTTGACACAACATTCAGCAGACATATCTAAACAATCAGGATGGGTGCTAATTGAGATGATGAGACTAACACAGAAAAGACAAGTCCCTGCCAAAGTCTCCTCTCTACCAGTTTACGGGTGAGCCAGCAGGAACTGCCCACATGCATATTGGGCTGAGATTGCACTGTATGCACGGCGTGCTGCCTCTTTCGTTATTATGACACTTTCCCCTACTCCTCCATCCCTTTGCCCCACCACATGGTGCATCTTCTCAGAAGGAAACCAGCACAGCTCCTGATAAAAACAGGGACATATCAGCAACGCTACAGAAATTTCCGCCCTAACGCTAAGGGGAGCCAGGCCAAGGCTCAAGTCACCAATACGCTACCAGTTGCCGACGCATTTTAAAGCACGATAGGGAGCAAAGCAGGGCAGTTAATGAAGTGCTGAAAACAGTGGCAAGTGCCTTTGCCTGTGCCAGGGCTTTCTGGTGCAGGCAGGGCTGGCAGGGTGTCATACAACCCACGTGCAGGGGACACGGCACTACCTAAGGTCGCACGGCACTTGGAGGGACACATGCGAACTGCATTGCCCACACTTCACCTTTTGTCCAGGCCAAAAGAATAAGAACAAACAAAGCAAGAAGTTTTATAAGGTGCTACATGTTCAGTGCCTGCATCCAATTCCCACTCCCAAGTGCGCTGGTGCGTGAGAGCACACAGCTTGTACACCCGCAGTCTTGTCTGGTGTATGCTACGCAGCTTTTCACTGGGAAGGTCCTGATCTGCTTCCAAGGAATTCCCTGTCCACACATATAACCTGCCATGGGATGCACCTGAAAACATTACAGCCCATCAGCCAAATCACCAGAGACGAGGAGTGGTGCAAAGCTAAACCTGAGCGTAAGCACGCATCCTGCCCAGTATTCACTGCTCCAGGGTTGTTTGTTTTCTGTAGAAGGAACAGCCTGTATGGAATTAATCCACTAGAAATGACTATTGCATTTTCCTCATAGCAAAACATAACCATGCCTGCAGATTCAGCTGGGATCTGGGAACCAGGCGTACTGGCACAGCCTGGATGCACAGCTCTGGCTCTAGTACCTCATTCAAGTTTGTACTGCCACATGTTTGCAGTAGCAAGGTCCAAACATGCTTCTAATAGGGTGGCAATTTGTTTTCCTCAATTGCTGGAATGCTGCAACTCCCAGGCATCGTAGACCTTCTGCGGTTCCTCAGGGGTGACAGACCAATTGGTGAGATCTATTTTATTGGGACTAAAATGCATCAGTCTTAAAAACAAGCATGGTGGTATGAATTGCTGTCCCTCCATCACCAGCTTTAGGAAAGCAAACCTGAAGGGACCTCCTGAATTCAGAAAGCCAGGCAAAAAAGCAAAGGAGCTGTGTCTGCAGAGTCTGGTTTGCAGCGTTTTATTCTTGGCCTCGCACAAAAAAAAAGAAAAAAAAGGAAAAATAAAATAAAAATTGGGCTCTGGTCCCTAAGCTGCTTTGTGTGGGCACAGAATAACATCTGCACGGAGCAAGGGGCTTGCTGTGCAGGCCACAGGTTGACCCTCAACGTGAGCCAACATTAACAGAGGAATTCGGACATTAAGCTCTGTTTTTATTTGAAACGCCAAACGCAGCTTTCATCTTTTTCTAGATATAACCCTTTGCCAGAACACAGCACAAAGTCTATTTATATAACACATGAGCAAAAATATTAATTAATAGATACAGAAGATATATTTATAAACCAGCATTTATTTTGCTCCCCTCTCCTTCAATAAACCAGCTCCTAACAGGCCAAACACACTGCACCACCAATGTCCACTTCCTTTCTCTGCAAGTAGATTTAACCGTGACCTCAGTAGACTGGCATCTG